TGGAGGCAGAATCTGAAGGGTAAATGTTTACTTTATAATTTTTGCTTGCTTTAGACTTGCAGACTTTTGCATTTATTTTCCTTTACCCAGGAAACAGTTTGTTGAGCTGTATTTTCTGTAGTATTCTATTACAAAAGAAACTAAGCCATATACTTTGAAAGACTAACTTTTGCATATAGTAATATTTTGGGCCTTGGAAGTTATTACAGAAGACAAATGTTGTCTCCCTGAATTGCACATGATGTATTTATTCTAGAACAAAGTATTTCTTTAAAATCACTGGTACCCTTCTATTAAAAGCTGCTTGAACTTTTCTCCAAGAAAGAAGTCTTAGGAATATTAGGAAATGACTCACTTGCCCTTTTCTAGTGGGCTTTCAAGTGAACCTCACTGACCTTTTATTTATGTGCATTTAGAACTTGGTGTCTGGAATACTGACTTATTAAAAATTAGGACTTATCTAGTAGTTTTTAAGACCTGACTACATTTTTAACATATTAGTTATAAACAAAGTTTAACAAAACAAGTATTACATGACAAATCATCTGGATTTTTTTAAGCCAAAGGAGGTGGAGTAATTTAATGGAAAGAACCACTGGACAGTGGTCTTGGGAGAAGTATTATTTTTGAGATGGAATCTAATTCTTTATAAAATAAGAAGTTGGACTGCTTCCTGGTCAGAAGCATAGCCAGAAGAAGAACCCAGATTTCCTAGGTAGAGCTCAAAGATTTTGTTTTATTTAGCAGTATTTTCTTAGCATAATTATAGGCCCATTCTAGTATTTGAGGGGAAAGCAGGTGTATTATTGTGCTCTAACACAGTGGCACTTAATTTGGGGGAGGTTACAGATTCTACTGAGAATACTAGCTGCCATTAATTCCATACCACGAATGGAAGTCACTTTATATGTGTCATTTCTAATCCACACAGTATCTCTGCAAAGTGTCTTCTCCATTTCACAAATGAGAAAGCTCAGACTCAGAGCATGTTAAAATAATTTGCTTAGGCTACATCACTGGTAACTGGCTCAGACTGCATTTGACCCCTGGCTTCAGCCCCATGCGCTTTATACTTCACCAGCACTTTTCAACTTCAACACACAGTCATGAGAGAGATCGCTCAAGTACATTGTTACTAATAACTATACTTTAAGTTTGCAGATGCTAAAACCTAGAGCAGATTCAAGTTATTCTTATACTCTTACCTCTTTCACTTGCTTTTTAATGTGCTTTCTTGAATGGGAGAAAGAAATGAAGTTATAGCCATTAGGCCAGGAATTCACAAACCCACAGCCTATCTCATCTGGGCTAGAGCCCATGGTGAGTCAGTTTGTTATAAATAGTTGTGACTATTGCGAATTGTTTTAGTCCTCTATTTTCCTAGAAAGCTCTTTTGAGATTTAGCAAAGTCTGGATAATATATCTCAAGTGAATTTCAAGAATATGAACATCCTTTTCAAAAAGAGGAAAAACAAAAACTAAAATTGGAATGTGTCCTAGTGAGAAGAGGAATGAGGAAAAAGCAGCCTGAGCTCCTTTCCCCTGCCTTTTTTAAAAAACATAGGGCCATCGATATCAGAGTTTGCAATTTTGAGTTGGAGAGGATCTCTGTGTTAAGCCATAAATTATATCAAAGAGTTTGGGAATAATAGGATACATTCTAGGATCAATTTTGTATTTTCTAATCAATTTTTGCTTTCCTTTCTCAGTATTATTAGTTCAGAAGCAGGCCTTGAAATCGATAGCCAACAGGAAGAAGAGCCTGTTCAGGCATCTGATGAGTCAGACCTTCCTTCCACCAGCCAGGATCCTCCTTCCAGTTCTTCTGTAGGTGAGTTTCTGCTCTTGACTACAGTACTGCTTTATACATCAAACTCATTTGCAAAAGACACTTTTGTTAGTTAATGATTTGATAATCCTTTTTTCCCTGAATGTAAAATGCTTTATTTAAAAGGGAAATTTTGTTTTATCAAAGGGAGTTGGTTGTAGTCGAGGTGCTAAAGAAGCCTGGGGGTTGGCTTGCTGGGAGGGAAGCTAAGGAGTGGCTCCAGGCCTCCGCTCCTGTTCTGACCAGAGGTGCTCCATTTCCGTTGTTCAGCACATCAAGGTTCTATATGAGATTTGATATAGAAAGTTAAAAGGGGGGCTGGGGAAGGGGTGCGTCTTTTCTTCAAAACAGATGTTTGAAATTTACTGATGTAAACAGTTTCAAAGTTTGGCGTTTCACGTTTTTGAAGTTAACCGGAAAAGGTCATTTTATATATCTTTCCTACAATAAAATTATTTCTGCAATACTTTTTAAAAATAACATTTGTGAGCACTTACTGTGTATCAGGCAATACATTACGCCCTTTACTGTAATGTATTGATTCGTCGAATGCTTATGCCGACCCAGTGTGGCCAGCAGTCATGCACATTCTATAGATATGGAAACTGAGGCACTGAAAGGTTGAATAACTTCTCCAAAGTCACGTAGCTAGTAAGTAATGGGCAGGCCTGGCGCAGTCTCAAGAAGTTTAGCTCCAGAGACTCAAGTCTTAAACAATATACTATACCAGCTTCTCTAGCTCAAATTTTTTAGGTACGGAGTTACTTTTATTATTGAAGAAATACATTACTTACTCATCCAGTCTGATTATTTTCATTCTGAATTGTTTATAGCAGTAATTTTTAAACTTTGCCAAGTTCCATGGAAAACATGCTCAGTTATTAGTTTTTTCAATCATGAGACGTTGCTATTTCAAGATCTCTTCTTCTCAGCTGCTTTTCTGTGACACATCGACCTGTTAGCCAACACTCCTAATTTCAGATCTCTTATCCACCCTTTAACAACTGGGAACTTTAAATCACTGTACATTTCATTATGAAATATGGACATTCATAAATAATCTGTGGTCAAGATTAGAAATAATGGATATAAATTATGTAACTCAGTGCTTTATATACAATGATGCTCAAAAATTGTAACTGTTAATACAGTTACTGAAGTTCTGTGCCCCCAATTATATTCTGATGTCTCATGAAAATTGTCTTTCCTCAACAGAATTGGCACTAGTTGTATCTTATTAGAGCTTGCATGAGAAAACATGATTCTTATTCCCTTTAATAGTATAATATGAAATTTGGATAATATAAATTTATTTGATAATATAAAACACTAAATCTCCCCATCTGAGCAGTTATTAATTTGGTCAATTGCCAGGCAGTTTCACAGAAAGCGTTACTAAGAAGGTAGCATTTAAATAAAGACTTGAAAGAGGCAAGGGAGCGAAGCATGCAGTTATCCGGGTGAAGAGTGTTCCAGAATGAGAGGAATAGCAGATGCAAAGTCTATAAGTCAGCATCGTGATGCGTCCAAGGTCAGCAAGGAGGCTGGTGTGGCTGGACTACAGTAAGGACAGAGACTAGTGGGTGATGGGGGCAGCGGGGAGGATAGATCCAGTGGATCATTGTAATCGCTTTGACTCATGGATATAGGAAGCTTTTAGAGGGCTTCAAACAGTAGTGACATGATCTGATTTAAAAACTTAACAGTATCAGTTTGGCTGCTACGTAGAGAGGAGACTGAAGTGAGTAATGGGCAGAAACAAAGTTTGGAGGATGTTACAGTAATTCAAGGTAAGGATGGTGATGTTTTAGACAGGATTGTAGAGTTAAGGTTGTGAGGCGAAGTTAGATTTGGAATATATATTTCAATCAGAGCTGCCAAGATTTGCTAATGATTGGATGCGGGGTATCTGGAAAACAGAAGAGTCGGACGTGACTCACGTTATATTGTGATAGACTTTTTTCCTGAGAAGTGTGATATTTTATTTTGCATCGTATTCCTCAACCCCTAGCACAGTGTGTGACACGTGACTAGGCACTAAGTAAATTAGTTGAGTGAATGAATTTAAAAAGTCAAGAACTTTTTTTAAATGAGGAAATTTTCTTTTTACTTTTTTTTTGTTAAAAACAACTTCTAAATATTGAACACAAATGGACTCCTCTGCACTTTATCCCTGTATTTATTTAGTAGTTATAGTTTTTGCCACTATAACTGCTTTCTTGTTTTTTAGCTTGTTTTCTGAATCTTAACGTTTTTCTTTCTTAGACACTAGTAGTAGTCAGCCAAAGCCTTTCAGACGAGTAAGACTTCAGACAACATTGAGACAAGGTGTCCGTGGTCGCCAGTTTAACAGACAGAGAGGTAAATTTCTAACATGTTGACTACATGATAGGAAGTGGGATGATAATAGAAGAACTTTTCTAATCCTTAAGCTTCCATCTTCTATCTAGTTTTTTTTTTTTTAATTCAAGGGTCGGTTAAATAATTATACATTGAGCGTGTGAGACATTTGCTAATCTAATCTGTAAGCTTCTTGCAGACAGATAGGTAGATATATATTAAATATATTTATGTTTATTCATTTTTTCCTTGAATTCAAAGTAAGATTTAGAAGAGCAAAAGTGTTTGAGTGTTATGTAGTCATTTGTTGTTACATGTCTGCCTATTGTTACACTTTTTATACAACAGAATAAAGCTTTGTGACTTTAGCTAGTAAAAAAAAAAGGAAAATTTTAATAACTCCGTGTTTTCTAATGTAACTATTAGAGATTGCATTCATGTCCTGAAGACAGTAATTGTAATGATTTCCATTGAAGGTGGGAAATATTTAAGTTTTTTGAAACAATTTTTATAAAGAACTAGAGTAAGTGAATACTCAGGTTTTGAGCTAACTTCTTAAAAGGTTCATTCAGTTTGATTCTGTTTTTTTTTTCTTCCAGGCGTGAGCCATGCAATGGGAGGGAGAGGAGGAATAAATAGAGGAAATATTAATTAAGTGTTCTGTAAAACTAGAATCAACTGTGAATAAGACTGTCAAATCTGTTTTAGTGCCGTAATTGTCGAGTTTAAAAACATTTTTGTATTTAAATTGGTATGCTTGTCTCAACATTCTTTATTAATAAAATGTATTTCAGTGTCAACAATTGTTATTCTTTTCTTCATTTTCATAAGTTGACTCTTCTTTTGCCCATCAGTCTAAGGACAGTTGTACCAGGCTTTGGATAAGGTCTGCCCAGAACGCGTAGTAATGGCTCTTGCTGTTCTACTAGGCACATCAACGTTGTAGTATTGATCTAAATAGAAGAGAAATCATTTTTTTTATTAAAAAGAAAACAAAACACTTGAATTTAAAAATAGATTATGTTGATTTTATACTCAAAGGCTGTGTTTATTATTTTATTATCAAAAATGTTTATAATTAATTTGAACTTTCTGACAAAAAGAAAACCAATTGCCTTGACAGATTAACATTTCACTACCTTTTAGTAAAATTAGGTGTAACTCTTTCAAAGTAAGAATTTGAGAAAACTAAGTTATTTTTAAAAATAATAATTCACTTGGGTTTTATCCTTTTAAAAAATTCTAATGTCATTTATATAAGCACAATAACTTAGATTTCTGGATTTTTCAAAGAAGTGTCTTAGGTAATATAATTTGATTAATAAAATTAGTTTCTCAGGAACTTCTTTCTGATCTCATATGGTCTGTGTAATGATGCAAATCCGTGTAACTATGGCAAACAAGGTGATAGAAGTAAAATAATATTTTCAGTAGCAGTTTTACTCAAGTAATTGGATTTTTTATTATAATAGGCTTTCATGAAGGATAAGACAGAATTCAATTAAAATCCTTTCAATTTAATGTGAAAGTAAAGTGAAAATTTAAACTTCACCTTCTTTAGAACAATTAGAATAAGTATTAGAGTTCAACTTCTCCCCTCCAGTCATCATTGAACACTTGATGTTTTTGTTTTGATTATATTTATATTTCAGAGATTAGGTCACACCTTCGGGAAGCTGTTAAGATTTTACTGAACTTACCCTTAGAGAAGGCATAATAATCGTAGCCATCGGGTTTTCTGAGGTTGGGCAGAGCTATAGCTGAAGTAACCACACTCGGAAGTCCTCTCCACAGTGAACTCACTTTAACTTCGTTATGGAGGAAACCTGTAGAAGGCACTTTTTAAAGATATCAGACTGGAAGGCAATGTACCTTATCGGGAAGAGCAGCTACTGAGTCAGACAGACTGGGCCTTAATCCCAGGTTAGTCGCTTGGTAGCTCTGACACCCTGGGTGTGATTTAACTTCGGCGCCTCAGTTTTTGCCCTGTCTGACCTGCGGTGACTACCTACCTTTAATCACTACTTTGCGGATTATAGACTTGTAAATCATGTTCTTGGTAAGAGATACTTAATAAATGGTATTTATTATAATTAACAACATTCAAACTGCATTCCTTACCCGCAAAGAGAAAGAAAAGACCTTCGATCATTTACTGAGGCAAATTGATGCTTTGTGTCATAAGCTTAAAGGATTAGGGCTATTTGGTGATTATATTTAATAAGCTTTACATTATAAGAAACTATTATATCTACTCGAGGTATAAGAATTTTTAACAGTAAAAAACGTTACCTTTGTCTTGATAGAGGACTCTGACGGGCTTGTATTGAATTCTGATAGCCTGAACTTGTGCAGGTCCGATGGCCCGCTCGAAGCGCCGGCGCCTCACCTGTGTTACCTCTCCATACACTGGGTAGTTGATGGTGGGCCTTCTTCCAGTGCATTTTCTGGTGGGTTCCTGCTTATAAGTATACTGCTGAATTCTGCCACCTGTTGCATATTAGAAAATCACATAGAATACGAAAGTTAATTTTAATCCCCCCAAAAAAGATGGAAAGCTTTTACAAGGTGGAGGGGGAAAGGTTTTTCATAAAGCATGTCTAGACATTAATAATGGCTATTTAGTCAAGGGTGTTATAAAAGTAATTACTAAATCTTGAAATGCTTGTTGAATGAATAAAGCCAACAAGTTGCAGTTATATGTTTAACTTTGAAAGTAAATGATGACATTTTTGATGTCAATGCAAAAAACAGGCAAAGCTGCTATTTGCATGTTGAGATTGAAATACTTTTTACTGCCTTCAATTTTTTTTATTGAAAATATTTGACTTCAGCCATTAAAGATGTATTTTGACAGTAAACTCAGTAGTAAATGGAAATATTGAATAAAATTTCCCTGGCAAAATCAATTCTTGAAAGTTTTGAAATTTTGTCAATTATGTAACATACCTCTCTTGAAAAAATACACAGATTCAGGTCTGTCCTTATATTTAGCTATTGAGAGAGCTGCCACTATTTTTCCATTTAATCCTCCAAATCCTTTTACAATTTGTTTAGGATACCCTGGATCTTGTCTATCATTGGTGAAACGCCAGTACTGAGAATCCTGATAATTTAAAAGAGGAAATGATGTTAACAGCTTTGTGGAAAAATAAGGTTATGAATTCTTTCTTAGATTTAAGCGTAAGGAGAACATTTTAGCTTAAGTGTTTGATTAAGTTGACCATTAAAGTTACCAAATTGTTAACCTTTATTGAATTTTGATGATAGAACAGTTCATTAAAATAAGAAACCCTGCTGAGTAGAGATTAAGCTGATTAATGTTTTTGTAATAAAGAATGAATGTTTGCTGATTTCTCTCACAAAGATTTTTTTTTTTCTTACCTTAAAAAAGAAAGTTTTCCCTTCACAGTTGCACCTGGTGAAAACAGTATCAATAGGGGAAGGGATACCCCAGACGTCAGTAATTCTGCGAGGTGGAGATGGTGGACTGAATGGATTTAGCATCCAGAAATAATGACCTAAAATTGAAAGTGATCAGCCAGTAAACTGAATGAATACTAAAACCTATCCTAAAAGAAACCAAAGTGGAAAAAAAAAATTTAAGTAATTTACCATAAAAACGTTGAATGGGTTAACAAGCATTCTATGACTAGAAATTAATGAGAACTATACTGGTACAGAAGGTACTATTTGAATATTTCTGAGAGTGGATATTTCTCAAGTCTGAAATTTAGCATAACCTTTGAAATATTTTAGTATTCCAGTTTCTCTAAAGAACATGCTGACTTTGTAAATTATACAGAGTCACATTTCTCTTCAGTTTTTTATCTTTCAGAATTAAGGAGTCATAGTTAAGTGACCCCTAAAATCTCTATAGCCTTACTGTACAAATCTGTGATTTACTTCCTTTAGGATTTAATCTAAATGTAATTTAAGAGGACTGGACTAGCAGTCAGTATGGCAGAGAATTAACACGTAATAACTGTTACTCTTCCACAGAGTGTAACACTTGAACTCATCACAATCATGATGTTATTTTCAAATAAAATAGAGCAGGGAAAACAAATCCTGTTGTAATTTCACATGATATGAAAATAAAATTCGAACTACCTTTTAATTCCTAAAGGTAGGAAAAATCAGTATCAGTTCAAACGCTTTTATTTTTGTTTGTTACTTTAACATGTCTAAGTCTGTTATTCCAGTGTTTTGGTAATTACTCAGGTTCTCATAATATTGTGTGAGGTAAGTTTGTCAATCAGGTTCCCCTCGAGAAAGCTCAACCCAAACTACCATCTCCTATGGCTTTGGTTCTCATAAATGCCAAGATCAAAATGATGAGCAGAAGAAGAAACATGCACATTGCTCACCTCGAAATGCGACTAATGTCCCATTGCGCAAAGTAGTCAGTCCATCTAACGGCTTACCGTTGCATATATTAGTCTCGTCTAAAACATTAACAAAAAATTAAGTCAGTACAAAACAAAATGAGAAAAGTGTTTATGTTCTTTGCATATCCTCCCGCAGGGTTCTATTTCCTCTGACAACTTTCCTAAGCTCTTGAAGGGTGTATAGTTTGAGGTGCAGGTGTCTCAGAGGTGAAAGAAGAGAGATCATAATTGTTTTATTTGAAGGTGATATTTTAAAATTATATAAAAATAAATGATGAATTGGAATGGGCCAGGTTACCTGGTCTGCATGTAAATTAGACAATTATTGGATGTTTGATCTCAGTATGAAATTCTCTTTTTCAGTTCTGATTGCCCTTTAGAATTGATTTGGAAAAGAAATACCTCAGATTTTTACATTGCATTGGCTTTCTTTTAAGGATAAACTCTCAACTGAGTATTTTTGACATTCTGCACACTGGCTCTGCTTGCAGACAGAGATGCACTAAATTCCTAACAATCATTCAGCTTACCTACAGAGAAGCCATAAAACTTCACAAGTTACCAAGTTCAAGGTTCTAGATAATATATATATATCAACAGAGTGATACTAAATCAGGGCATTCTGTTTCTGGTAGATTTAACTTAACATTACCAGTTTAAAAAATGAAAGCAACTGATTCTCTTTACCCGAAAGCATGGGGTTGAAGTCCATGCCTTGACTGGGTCCTCTCACGATGAAATCACTGCCCGGAATAACTATGGGAGTTAACACATGGGGCCTGAGAATTATGGGAGGCTCTTCTCCTTCATCTGCATCTTCACCTTCATTCTTCGGATTTTCTTCAACTGTCTCTGAGTTAGGAGCTTGGTTAGGGCCGGTGGTGGTTTGCAGTATGCCCTCCCCTGAAGGGGCAGAGTTCGGTGTAGGCACTGTCGACGAAGTCATCTTTGGGGGACTTGGCGTAGGCTTTGGTTGTCTCACTTTAGGTGTAGTGTTTGGCTTTTTGGTAGAAGTGAGTATTTGGGGTGCTTCGGTTGGGTTTGGGAGGTCAGTAGTTGTCACTTTAGAATTAGTAGCTGTATCTTTTGCTGTAGCTGTCGTTACTTCAGATGTATCCATGGTCTCTTCGGTTGTGGTAGTTGTCTTTTTTGTTGCAGTCATTACTTTGGGTGCGACAGTTGTTTCCTCATGAGCAACTTCGGATGATGTGGTGGAATCCTTGGCTGTGGTAGACATTGCCTGCACGGTTGTACTTGTCATTTTGGATTCAGTGGTTTTTTCTTCTGTCGGGGTTGCTGTCTCTTTTGTTGTACTCTCAGATGCAGTGGTTGTAATTTTAGTTGTGGTGTGTGTGCTTTTTTCTGTTGTCTTATCCTTAGCTGTGGTAGTCATTGCAGGCTTGGTCACTTCAGAAGTGATTGTAGTCTTGGTTGTAGATACAGCAAGCTCCTTGGGACTGTTTTCAAGAGCCTTTGGTGTGGGTTTTGCAGGAAACTCGGGTGTTGATGCATCAGGGTTCTTGGTTGGAATGGGAGGCTCCATGGTGGTAGCTGGAGTAGAGGCCTCTGAAGTGGTTGGAACAGGTGTCTCAGGAGAAGTTGGAGTGGGGTCCTTGGGAGTGGTGGGCGCTGGCTCTTTGGGAGTGGTGGGCGCAGGCTCCTCGGGAGTGGTGGGCGCAGGCTCCTCGGGAGTGGTGGGCGCAGGCTCCTCGGGAGTGGTGGGCGCAGGCTCCTCGGGAGTGGTGGGCGCAGGCTCCTCGGGAGTGGTGGGCGCAGGCTCCTCGGGAGTGGTGGGCGCAGGCTCCTCGGGAGTGGTGGGCGCAGGCTCCTCGGGAGTGGTGGGCGCAGGCTCCTCGGGAGTGGTGGGCGCAGGCTCCTCGGGAGTGGTGGGCGCAGGCTCCTCGGGAGTGGTGGGCGCAGGCTCCTTGGGAGTGGTGGGCGCAGGCTCCTTGGGAGTGGTGGGCGCAGGCTCCTTGGGAGTGGTGGGCGCAGGCCCCTTGGTGGTGGTGGGAGCAGGCCCCTTGGTGGTGGTGGGAGCAGGCCCCTTGGTGGTGGTGGGAGCAGGCCCCTTGGTGGTGGTGGGAGCAGGCCCCTTGGTGGTGGTGGGAGCAGGCCCCTTGGTGGTGGTGGGAGCAGGCCCCTTGGTGGTGGTGGGAGCAGGCCCCTTGGTGGTGGTGGGAGCAGGCCCCTTGGTGGTGGTGGGAGCAGGCCCCTTGGTGGTGGTGGGAGCAGGCCCCTTGGTGGTGGTGGGAGCAGGCCCCTTGGTGGTGGTGGGAGCAGGCCCCTTGGTGGTGGTGGGAGCAGGCCCCTTGGTGGTGGTGGGAGCAGGCCCCTTGGTGGTGGTGGGAGCAGGCCCCTTGGTGGTGGTGGGAGCAGGCCCCTTGGTGGTGGTGGGAGCAGGCCCCTTGGTGGTGGTGGGAGCAGGCCCCTTGGTGGTGGTGGGAGCAGGCCCCTTGGTGGTGGTGGGAGCAGGCCCCTTGGTGGTGGTGGGAGCAGGCCCCTTGGTGGTGGTGGGAGCAGGCCCCTTGGTGGTGGTGGGAGCAGGCCCCTTGGTGGTGGTGGGAGCAGGCCCCTTGGTGGTGGTGGGAGCAGGCCCCTTGGTGGTGGTGGGAGCAGGCCCCTTGGTGGTGGTGGGAGCAGGCCCCTTGGTGGTGGTGGGAGCAGGCTCTTTGGGGGTAGTGGGTGTAGGCGCCTTAGTGGTGGTGGGAGCAGACTTTGGAGGGGTGGTGGGAGCAGTTGTAGTTTCAGCTTCAGATGTAGACTTGGCACCTTCGGATGTGGCAGTTGTTTTCTCTGCGCTTCGTGTCTCTTTAGCTGAAATGGTCTTCTCTGTTGCACTAGCCGAAGTCTGTTTCCTTGTTACAGAAGTCTCTTTAGTTTCAACCGTTGTCTCCTTATTGACTGTTGAAGTTGTCTCTTTGGTTGTTTCAGATTTAGATGGAAGACTGGGTTTAGAATTTGTTGTTGTTACTGTTGTCGTGGTCTCAGAAGTTGTGGTAACCTTATTGCTTTGGGTGGTAGGACTGTCAGGAGTTGGGGTGATCTTGACATCGCCAGTGTCCTGTCCACTTCCATCTTCATCTACAACTGCTGGTTCTGGGGTAGGTTTTTTTTTAGGAGTTTGTTTCTTCTTGTTATCGTTTACTAAAGAAAAAAATACATCTTTTATTTTGGGGTAGTTTTTTTTTTTCTTTAATAGTGACAAAGATCTCATTCTTATTGACTAGCTGTATGTCTCTAGACAGGTTGCTAACCTCTAATATGTCTATTAATTTATTGTAAAATGTTAAATACGCTATCTTATTGGGATATTTTAGGGAATGACAGAGATAAGGGATGAAAAGCATGAGTAAAACTCTGTACAATTAATACATGGAAACAAGTGGCAAATTTGAAATTACCAACATGATCAATCACACCAATTCATCTCTTTATTAAAGCTCTTTGCTTTTCACTTTTTCCACTCTTGGACCTCATTGCTCAGTGCCCCTTCCTTCCTCCTGGAAACCTGGTTCCAACACCCTGTTGCTTCACTGCACCAACTGCCTGAGAGGCCTCTAAAACTACATCCAAGGAATCTGCTCCAGTCACCCCCGTAGCCCCTGCTGAGCCCTGTTTCCATACACGGCTGTTAGCTGTTCTTTTTTCTCTGCCCAGACCCAAGAGATGGAAGAGATTAGGATGCCATGGCAGCAAAAAGACCCTATTTAACAGGACTTCCCACAGCAGCTACCCCATAGGTAAACTACAGAGCCCAAGGGGCGCATCACTGAGATGGGTTCTACGTAGCAAATGTGTATTGCAATTGTATTGTGCGCAAGACTTTCTGGATGACTCAAAGATTAAATATCTGGCTATTCAGCTAGAGAGCAGACTTCAGGGAAAATCATAACTGCCCAGGAAATAGAGTTCTTTAAAAGCAGTATCCCAAATCCAGTATTTCCTGGGGAAAGAAAATGTAGTTTAGAATTTCAGGAAATAATAAAAAGCAGAACAAAGGGAACCTCTTTTTAGGAGGTAATAGCCTATCTGTAATAAATTCACTATTACAGAAAAATCAGCCAGATACATAATTAGGAAAATAATAAAGAGGTTCTGTAAGATGTGAATAATCTTGCCTTTCTCAGAGAGGTATATGAGCATTTAATGAACTAACATTTAAAACAGCATGTAAAGCAGTATATGATTGTAAATAAAATAAAAGAAATCTGGAGAAGGAAAAATGAAAACATAAGGAAGATAGAGGAAGAAGAAATGTTATTGGGTAGACAAGAACTGAAATAGAAAACCATAAATAATCATCTTTGGCGCCATCTTGTGGTTCCACAGTCGCTGCTATGGCATCTTATATCCTTTGCTTTAAAGAGTGGTTTCTTAGCTGCTTGGCACTAATTTCCTATAGGAAGTTTTCATTGGTATCTTCTAAAATAATTTTTATGAAGTTATATAACCCCTCAAATATTGAAATGTCCTCAAATCATTCTACCAACACTCATTACTTTTAGATAATTATTGTTAACATGGCATTGATATAGTCTTTGATCTTTATCAATGCTCAAACCTTTGGGTTTCTTCTTTAATTCTCTATTAGCAGCTGAATTTTTGGAAGACTTGAATTTCCGAATAGTTGAAGAGGAAGAGGAAGAGGAGGAAGACTCTTGATTTTCAGAAACTGAATGTTCTATAAATCAAATAAAAAGTTTGATCACACCAATTGTGATTTAAAGCAAAAAAAGAACTGCCAGTCCAAATACAACAAGAAATGCTACTTATTGGTCTAAAAATGTCTGTGTTCTGCTTTACTTTATCAGTAATATGATCAACTGTTCCTCTAATTTGTCAGTTAAAAGCAAGTCATCTGAGCTTATCACAGATACTAACAATATATATAACTTCCTCTCGACTTTCCCATATCTTATATAATCTAATTATTCTGTAAAAAAGATCATTTTTTTTCTTACATTAAGACTTCTGATTATTTTAATCTAGACCCCCATACTGGTTTCAGTAAATAAGGAAAGTAAATATCTGAGGGTTTATACCTTGGCTTTAACTTTGACTTAAAACAAGTAAACAGAAAGTATAATGAGACTTTAATGACTCATAAGATTACCCTGTTCTATGAAGAGTCTTATAAAAGCAATCCACCTACAGTTTATTTCATCTCAGAAAACTCCTTCTGTTAAATCTGTCATCTTCCTACCTTCCATTATTTCCTCTGATTCTACAACTTTCTTAGTCTTCTTCTTGTTTGTTGATTTGGGTGAACGTTTGGTTGTTGATTTGGGTGAACGTTTGGTTGTTGATTTGATGACCTGAGAAGCATCTGCAGGCGGAGGTGCGGTCTTTGAAGATGGTGGTGATGTGGGGTTATGCACTGAGTCCAAGCAAGACAGGTCAGTTAACATCTTGTTTATATTCATCAGCAACTCTAACTGTGAAAGGCATGGATGCATCTGGCTTCATGAATAGATGCTGGTGAAAACCAGTGCAGGCAGACTGTAGTCCAACACTAATTACTAGATGCATTGCTATAGAATATTGGTTCTCAAATGACTAAAAGTGATGACATGGAGCAAAGGCTCAGGGGTCAGAAGACCTGAATTCTAGTCCTAGGCCTGCAAGGCTACATCTACCATTGTGACCCATTTTGAACTTTGCTTTCTTGTCTGCAAACTGAGATGTTAATTCTAGATGACTTCTAGAGGTATTTGCCTGTCTAAAAAATACTTTATAAAATCCATCCCTTATGCTTGCTTTCTGAGATGATAAAAATAATTACTGCATGTGGGTGATAGGTATCTGTGCTCTCGAGAAGAGAAATATGATAATTACATTTTTCATGTTCATACTCATTTAAATCAAATGATGCCAATTTTCCTTTCATTTTTTTAATTATAGAAGTTCTACATTTTATACCTTCCCATTATGTTTTTCTCAAAATTTGTCGCCCTTTTCCAAGTTTAACAACTATTTATGGTGTGATGTGTATCTTCTAAATGTTTTATCTCTCCCTTCTCCCTCCTCTTTTCATATCCAGAAGAGAGAATACGGGACATGTTTCGGACATTAGGAACCAGAAGAAAAAGAGAGGGATTTCTGCAAGATTAGGAAGCAGAGAATAGTGGGGACACGCTGGGTAGTGGGGACTTGTGATAAATCCTGCTGCTTTTAGCAAGCATCCCCTCAAACTCCATTGCTGCAGTCTCCATGAACTGACGTACATCTCCCTCGTACTCCTACCCAACAAAAACACCAAGTACCTCAATTTGAGAAACAGTTCTGCCACATATCAGCCAGTGACCTTGAGCAAAACTCTTAACCTCTTAGACTGTTTTCTCAGCCACATTCATAGCTATGATTCTTTCAATTCCTGAAATGTCATGACGTTGAGATATATAGATGCCTACAACCAGTATCCATAGCAATCTTGAAATAACTGAGTGGTGAGTTGCAAGATAGTTTGGTTGTCATTTTTTTTAAATGAAGTATTGAAGCTCTAGGTAGTTCCCTTCTTTTCAGTTGGGACCCTGACTGATCATCTCTGTGAATTCTGTAAATGAAGCACTACCTTCATTTTTTTTCATTGAGTTCTACATAAACCTCAGGCAATCTTTATAGCATAAAGCACTGTCTTTATGAACAGGTTCTCTCAATGCTTCAGCATTCTCTACCCATTCTCTCTCCCCATCCATCCTCTGCCCAAAATAAATTCTTATTTTCTGTCACACGGCCAAAACAATTATCAGGGCAATGAGTAAATATGCAGCAGTCATCATGGGTCTTTTGAAAGCTATGGGAATTTTGTGCTCTGAGTTTTGATTATAAGGGTGTTGTCTCCTTTCGTTTTAGAACGCTTTCCAATAAAAATATTGAACAGTTAAGAAATGTCCCTCAGCTGTGCCGATTAACAGTTTTCCACCCCATTTCCCGAACTGTTTGAAAGAAGCAGGAAGTGCAGCCTTGTTTAAATAAAATGATAAGATTATGCAAGCAATGCTTGTTTTCACTTTTATCTTCCTAAATATTCTTGTTTTAAGAAAGTAGGATTTCAGAATGAACATTTGGTTAAAAAACAAAACAAACAAACAAAAACAATATCAAAGTATCTTTTTTAAATCTGTTTTTTGTAAAATTGAGAGGGTTTTATTCACTCTCAGAGTACTCCTTGGAAACCTACAACCAGAGAAGATTTTAAAAGTGGGACAGTCCCTTTTTATTGACTCTGTCATGCACAGGCACTCAGCGAGACCATGGAGGTGACTGTCAAGACAGGAAGAGACATAAAACAGACAGTTAACAACTCTGTAGGTTTGCCTGTAAATTTAGTGTCTTTACCTAACTCATAAATTTACTAGAGAAGCTGAAAGTGTTGATTCTCTCAATTATACACTCAAAAACATTAAAGGCAGCTCAAAGGACAGTTGACTTGGTGGCGTCAGCACCATTCGGGTGAGACAAGAAATCATCAAGGGAGTCGGTTACTGTTGATTTAACCTGAAATTGAACCACACCTGAAGAAAAAAAGCATATACACTCGAGGCCCTGTCCTCTCTGTTACTTAACCAGTGACCTCTAGTGCTCCCGGAGCCTGGCCAAGCCAGGGAGCGCTGTCGGAAGAGGCTTTCCTTCTTTAATTCATCTTGGAGAAACAAAATTAATATGAAACAGCTCGCCTGTTAGTAAAATCACGGCCTTAGATGGACTGCGCGTTAGACATTATTCGCGGAGCTAAGACAGGTGCACAGATCCGGCTGCGCCGAGAAGCGCCGACCGGTACTGTGATTGATGCTTACCTTTTGCACAGAAATCCTCATAATCTGAACAGCACTTGCCGTACTTCATACATTGTGCGTCACAGTCACACTCCCGCCCTCTTGCAAAGGACTCGAAGCAGCGGCCTTTACAGGAAAGCTCTACCCAGAGCGAAACAAAACATGACGGATTATTGATGAGGCACCCGCTCCCGTGGATGGAGCGCCATTTCCCACCTTCTTGCTGACTTGAGCTCCGAAAGTGCCTTTCTAAGTCCCTTATTTGGAACTTGGAAAATGGACGGTTTCCCAAGCAGAGACAGCCCAAGTCAAGAAAGAAATGTGGTGACTTAGGGAAACCTTCCTTGCCCTTCGATGCTCCAAGAGACACCCCAACGCTGCCTGAGTCCTTTACGTGTATGGACAATGGAAAACTGGGAAATGTCTCCATAGTAAACTGCCCTTCCTAAGGAAACCCTCCATCCTCTCCTTCTCACACCACTGCTTCGTAATGGGTTTTTGTTAATTTAACATTCAGATCCTACAGCAATATATTCCAAGGAGCTGGCTTAATATAAATGGGTCACCGTTTTGGCAGAGACTTTTGTTATGACAAACTGGGCAAGGTGTGGAGTTGAAAGATTTTAGCCTAATCCAAGGCATGGACTATGTAAGGGAGGCCTGCTTATTTTTTTAAAAAAGCCTTGGTTAGAGGCACAGGGGCTCCACTGAGGCCTGTTTGAAATAATTACCTTATACAACACATAATACTGTACAACAATATACTTATCGACTATATGCAAATTCTAAAGCGATTATAACATAAACGATTTTCATTATAATTTTCATAAATTGAATATGAAGCGGTTCTGTGTTAACATCAAAATGGCCCAAAATGTTTTCAAGAGAAATACTACTCATAATTTAAAATTCAGATCCTTGATTGAAAGTCATCATTAAACACTAATGCTTCATCTTTAAAGTGCCTTTTGTCAAGTAATTTAGAAACATGTTAACATAAAAAAACCCACAAAGTCAAGTAGTAAACAAGCGTATTTTATGTCCATGGATTCTTTTGCTGTAACTGTTGAAGGGCCCTATCACTAAACAATTACATCTCCGATTGGTAGTAAATAATTACTCATTACTATTTACCTAATAACTACTGAGTCATAGTGTTAAGTCTATTTAAAATAAGACATTTTACTTGACACTCGTCAATAACTCTGTGCAAGTGACAGATTTCCAGGCTTCCCTTCCCCCCACCCCACCCCCAATCACAAGCTTTGACACCACACCTAGGTACAGCACACGCAACATTTATGCAAGTGATGGGAAAGGCACTTAAACAAAAAGAAGTGAAATAGTGTGAAAACAGCACAGCAGGGGGGATGAAGGAGCTCTCAAGAACAGTGTTGCTTGACAGGACACCAGCTCTCAGGACTTACCCACAGTGCAGACTTTCTTGAAATCAGGGCAGCACTCCATGTAGTGTTGACAGTTATAATCACAGTTGCAGGGGGCATCTCTAGAATACCCTTCCCCACATCTCCCTGCACAGCTTGGTAAATCTAAAATTATACAATATAGTGTAAACATGGCCAAACCACTGTACCGGAAGGGAGGGATCTAACGAGAGGGACAAAGCCACTTGGTGAGAGAGAATTATTTTGTTGATTGGAAAAGGTTGGGAATGATAGTTAGCTGTAGGTTCAGGTGATCTTTGCCTGATCTTTTATGTGACCTCGATCATGCCACTTTATTCTTTACTAGACTGAGAAGATAAATACACTTTTAAAAATCAGACAAAGTAATAGCTGTGCACTTCTCGGGGAGCGTGGCAGCTACAGCTCTACTGATGCTGCCTCTCAGATGATGGCTAGTCGCCATGATTTGAGCATCTCTGTGCTGGGCACTGAGTCATACACTATCTCTAAGGCTTATGAAAATGTTGCTAGGAGAGTATGAGTAGCTTCTTTTTAGAGTTAAGGAAGCTGAAACATTGAAATTTTAATAACTTGCTCAAGGGCACACAGCTGGTGAATAGACCCAGTATATACGTATTGCAGATCAATCAATACCCTTTAATTATTTGCATTGACTTCGTTCACCCTGACAAGTGTCTTGATTTGCATAATAAATTACATGGTCATCTTAAGTTAACAGCCCACCTCGAATTCTGATATATCTGATTCTAAAGCCTGAACTTTTTCCTTTTACCCAATCACATGGCCTCTCATTTTTGATGATGAGTTTAAAGTAAGCTGGTTATGCCTTACTAGGCTTTCTCTTCCTCTGATTGGTGGGGATCAGTGGGTTCTTTAAATGTTGGGGGAATCAGATGCTTACAACTACTGCTAAAGCGAGTATAGAATAGATTACTCTTGAAATAGCGTCTGGACATGAATATAAAGGTCATGAACAGAGTTATTCTTGGTAAAACAAAACAAAAACAAGAATAAAAGCATAATTATCTTTGAATATATTTTTTAAATCATTTGGAAAACACCTTGAGAACCTCCCTGAGAGATAACCACAGAAACGTAACAATTGAATCCATCTCTGGAATAGAAATTGACAGGTGCAATGTCTTAAATCCATAGAGGGACTTTGAAACACACTGAAAAAAATCTCAAAATAATGAGTCCAGGAAGGTCAAAGTCTTAATATGCAAATAAAATAGCAAATATTAGGACACCTTTCAGAACTTTTTGCATACATATGTGCACAATACACACAAAATGCATATATAGTGTATGTATATAAATACATATATTATATATAAAGAAAAAAAGGTGAAGAGGATGAGAAGGCAAGAAAAGCAGACAAGACGACATTAAAAGATTATTCTTTTCCAGTTAGCAGATTTCTGAAATAGGAAATCAAATGTCTTTACAGGAAAAGTTTACTTTCCTATATTATATGTCTGTCCTGCTTTTACCGTTATTAATTTTAACAGCTAATTTTCAATTCATTTATTTAAAGGAAAGTAAAGCCATTTTAGTGAACAATCCATTTTATTTCAAGGGAAAGGTGGGTTAGGAAGTACACCCACTGTTGTGAACCTCGAAATTTTACTATGAGATTGCTGACAAGTCGGGAGACATCAGAGTAATCAATCCTCATTCCTTAGCAAATATTTATATTTGCTTTCATGCATTTCCCATCTTTTCTTATCTAAGCGATATTGAAACTATGTCCATGGCAGGGAGTTATCTCTCATGCTCAGGTTCATAAGAATTTTGATTATTTTACTGGAAATGTCTATTTTATAAATGTAATTTCACCATAACAATCATGCACCTAATAAAAAATGACATTCACATCTGTGTAAGTTCGTATCTGGATGAATACTCCTTATAAAAGAGAGCACTTCTAAGGTTAACAAAATGCCATTTGAAACACTGCAGATGTTAATTGTAACATGACATCTATATTTACATCATGCCCAAACAAGTTATTTATCAATAATTTATTTGATGTAAGAGACTAGTTAAATTTCTTTGTAAACATGTAGATAAAAATTATGTTCTATTTAAATACTGTTATTTTGGTTAATCTGATGATATTGTATTGTTCCAGTGTTATCTGTATATTTTTAAATTTTTAGAGAACCACGGAGATAAGTACAACAATTATTCTATAGGAGAACTCAAAACTTCTTGAAAGATTTCATAATACATGAGAAAAAAAGTGACAATTCCGAAACGCTTACGAATATGTTAATTGTGCTTTACAAAATTTTAAGGTCGTACTCCGCATTATACTTAAACAAATATACGATTTTAGAAATCTGTTTCATTTGTTGTCATAAAAGTTGGAACGGAATGATTAGCAATAGTTGTGAAATAAAACTATTTTTGATGATTACGTTACCTTGAGAAGAAACTTGCTGAATCAAGAAAAGAGAAAGCAACGGCAACAAGTAAATGGGAAGTGCTTTCCACTCCATGGTTGTTTTCAGGTACCGAACTCTCGCTGAAAAGAAAAAAACAATAGAAGTATGAGAAAAGTACTCTTTAACCTCGCCTCTAACTTATGCTTCTGCTAAAAAGTGTGGGTAACTTTTAAAATGCAATTTAATGATAAAACCATCCCATTCTTGAAACAAGACTTTTTAAAGTAATTAGCTTTAATTCTATAATAAATATTTGATCATTAGATTAAATCTTATGCAGACAAAATAATCAAGTCGCCATTTCACTCATGTTACTGATGATTTTAAAACTTTAGAATTCCCCGGAATAGAACGCCGACTTATCTTAAAACTCTATTCACATTAAAACACGTACTTACAATACAAGGTTTAAGTCCTATCTTGGGGAAAAAATAACCAGCTTCAGTAAAATCTAATTTAATAAACACAGGAGTTATTGTTCCAACTTTCCCTTAACTATCAATATAAATTCATAAGCTTCCAACAGGTGTATTGCATTAATGTGATATTTTTTCAAACCTTTTCAGCTACTATCCTTATAAATCGTTTTCAAATACCTTTAATAAAGTTTATCCCTATTGAAATGAAAACACATTTAATTCCACGAAGCAAGTTAACTTTGACACTTACCCGTAAAATGATAGATGAATTTCTCCAAAGTCCTGGAAGTCTTATATATCAGTGCAAACACATTGGGATGAACCAATTAGTCCAAAGGTTAGACAAAAATCAACAGTGTTGTCACCGAGATCAAACTTTCCTCATTTATTGGAAAGGAGCCCAGACGACTAGACTTAGGCAACATCTGGAAAACACTTCCATTAAGAAAAATGACTACTACAAAATAAATTTAGATTTATTGGCCCAAATACACTTCTAATTTCTAAGTGAAGTGAACAAATTGTTCTGAGATGGGAAATCACACTGGCAGGCTTCGACTTGGGTATCGAGGCAGCAACCTTAAAATGTCAAATCCTGGTATCATTTCTTTCTTTTTTCCTCCAGTTAATCTAGCAAAGAGTGGTTTTGTAATTTATCCAGTGTTCGTTTGTGACATATATTTTCTGAACTTCCACTCTTAAATCAAATGTACATTTCTTTTCTTGAGTATATTTATTTTCATGGAGCACAGAATATCTGCACAGAAATGACCTATGGGTGAGTGATATACACTGGATTTTCTAGGATTCTTTACCATGTAAAAATCTGCTTAAAAATTGTATTGCTGTCTCCTTTAGTTCCTTTATTTAAGCCCAGTGGTGTTTGGAAAAGGTCTTATTAAATTACTAATTTAGGTTCCTTGCCACAGAGAAAATATGAGCTATCAACCTTATAGAGCTGAGTCAGCTCAGCTCAAGGTTTTCCCCATTTTGATAGGCAGTGTTTCTATCCTACCCACCTACCTAAGGCCTTGCTTGTGGCCTAGCACCTCCCTGAAACCTTCTCATATCAATCCAAACTACATCCAGGGTCATAGTCAACAAAATGTACTCCATTTTATTAACATTATCTGTTTATCTGTTTCCTTCCAACTCCCACCCACCCCCCAACCTCCCCCACGAATATGAACACATGCCAAGGACGGCCAACATCTATGTCTTAATTCTATTGCCCAAACCTAGTCCAGTGCTTCCAGGGGCTGTGTTTAATATATGCTCGTTGAAACAAACTGTTGTAACCTGGATGCCACCGTGTACTGTATATGTGGCAGGTGCTGCATTTAATTACCACAAAATGCCTTTGATTTGAATATAATCGTCCACACTTTCCAAATAAGGTGAAGACCCACAAATGAAGAAATCTGTGACTTATAAGGACTCATAAGGAGTAGGAGCCAGAGTAAAGATTTGAACCTGCCTCTTTTTATTTTAAGTTCTATCACATTTCCATGATATTCAGCTTCCTTTTGAAGAAGCCATCACTTCAGTACTTAATCTTAGTACTAAATTTTACTCCTTCATGTGTATATGTGGGTTTATGAAATGGTGACCTTTGTAAAGACAGAAATTATAATATAAGCATCTCTTTTGTTCCTGCTATGCTTATTCTGGGCTAAATATATAATGTATAAGGATCTGTTCACCTCTAAGCAACCTCCTTCCTCTAGGAACTCCCATTTTTAGGGGTATTTCTCATTCAGCCGCTTTTATATACGTGATCTTGTCACATCAACCACAGCCAATAAGATTATCAGTAGAAACTGAGCCAATATGTTTTCCTGTTCTGGAAATTTAGATCGGCGAGTCAGAGATTACAAGTCTGTCTATGTAGATGTTAAGATGTAAACTTCTGTCCATGGTCTAAGTAGAGCAAGTCCTTCAGAATAAAGAGAGAGACATGAATGAGAGAGAGTTCTGATAGCTTCCTAATTCTTGTTTGCTCTTTGTTCCTGAGACCCAGATGCCTTCTTACACTGTATCTTTAAAGAAGAATCCCCCTTTGGGGCTGAAGCTGGCTAAAGATTCTTCCTGTTATTTAAAATCACTAAGCAATATATACTAGATATATAAAAGATCCTGGTGGATGGAATTGAATTCTCTTCTTAATTTTACTGAGGTCAAGAGGGAGAAGCATTATAACTTTTTAAAGTCAGGCCTTGACAGTGTTGTTCTCCTGTTGTTTGTTTGACATGCTGGAAATACCATGAATATCAGAGACAGATATACACATAGACACTCGTGCTTAAACCCAATACGAATTGCTTTCTGATTATTGCCTTTTAGAACTAACTACACTGTCATTTTTCTCCTTTAGACAAATTTATTATAACGATGGCAAATGACGTTCTTAAATTGGTTGAATAATCTGCTCTAGTAACATGTGTTCCTAAATCCAAGCTCTTGGCTTGGAAAACTGACAAATAAAACACACACACACACACACACTCACACACCGGCTATTATGGCCATTCCATTAACACATTCTCATTGTCATCAAATATGTTTTCTCTGTATAATAAAGTATGAATAAGGAAGAGAAATTTTTTTAAATGTCAAGTTCATGAGGTTTGACTTATAAATGCCCGCTTTGCACAATTCTATTAGGTAATGAGACTGTCTGGATAAATAAAGTTTTCCCTAAAGCATTGAAGCATTGTAATTTTTTCTATTAACTATATCTTTATAAACTGTACCAAATGCTCCATTCTGTGAATATTGGGCCATTTAACCTTCCTTGCTGATCACACAGCAATTGTTCCGTTAGGTTACACGTTCTGCCTTTGAGATTTCTTTTCTCATTAACGGTATTTACTTAATGTTCACTTAAATCTCATTTAATCGGAGTAAAATTATCGCAGCATTTGTTTTTGGGATGGGACAGGTGGGGAGAGTAAAGAGGTGGAAAGGATAGAAATAATATTGGATCCTATACTCATCTTCTAGGCATGATTTTTCACACATTTTGCCCTCATGAACCTCAGTTTCTGCACTTGGCAGCAACACAGTGCTGCCTTCAGAGGATATTCAAGTATGTTCAGGGATATTTTCTCTGCAATAAATTATCCCAGACTGTTGTGTCCTTCTACTTGTGCCCTGTCTCCATCCTTGCTGTTAGCTGTCACTTTGTCCCGTAGCCAGTGTTTCTGTACCTAGTGGTTTCTCTCCACCTTTCCAAGTCTTTGATGTGTTTCATTTCCTTCCATCAACAGCCTAGGAAAATCCGAAGCATGCCCAGGGAAAACCACAAGCTGGCTCTTCATTGCCCTAATTTTGCTCACGACACCAAGTTAGTGAACTGTAGACATAAAATAACTCCTCTCCTCTTCTCTCCTACGGAACAGAGACCAGGATTCAGAGGCTCCCTCTGTCTGTCCTGTTGATGGCATTTTCACAAACTGGAAAGGGTTGTGGGGTTTTTTTTTTTTCCTGGATGTTGATCAAAAGTATGACCATTAGATAAGGAAAATATTACTGTATTTGCTTTTGGAGATTGTGGCAGTCTGATAATTGTTCCCAAGCTTTTCTACCTGTTTCCAGCTGGAAGTTACCTTGCCCGGCTTCCGCTTCAGTTATGTGTGGCTACACGACTGTGTTTTCTCCAGTGAAAGGTGAATAGGAGGGAGATATGCAGCTTTCACTCCACTTTCCTAACAGGAAGTTGCTTGATCTGGATTTCCTCTTTTTCCACCTTCTCGCAGGCTGGAAGGCAGACATTGGAGACCAGCCTTGATCATGCAGACAAGAATGGCAGCCCAGAGGGTAGTATTCTTCATGGAGCACAGGTGCACTCCCTTTGCCTCTACTAGACAGGGAGTTGCATAAAAGGACATAAATCTCCATTTTATTTGAACACCTCTAATTTGAGGTCTTTTTGTTACATCAACTTAGATATTATCATAACATAGACATCCTGGGATATTCCCAAATATTTATAAGAATTGTATTCTAAAAATTAATTTGTATGCTAAGCAATAGTGTAAAAAAAACGAACTATTGGTAAAAACTATTGATATTGGAAAGGGAGCAAGGTAAACTATTTTTATTTGCATATAACATGATTGAATATCTAGAAAATCCTGAAGAATCTACACAAAGCTTAAAAACTGATGAACTTAGCAAAATCTTAGTATACAAGATCAATAACAAAATTTATATTGAGGCCACTTTAATGCATGAACTCAAGTGTACTGCTTTTTCTGAATGCTGAAAGAATAAGAGTTCATTCATTCATTCATTCATTCATTTTTCACTCATTTAATTCTTTTGATGAGCAAATAGTGCTCTAGTGTGAATTACTGGGGTCAAATATATATGCAAGATAGAGACTCTGGTCCCTAAGATTTCTTGGTCCAGTCACGGAGCCAGACATTTAAATCACTAGTTCAAATTGCCTGTAAAAATGAGGAAGCAGTATGGTGAACAGCTATAATTAGACTGTGGCATCAGTTGGACCACTGTTCAAATCTCAGCCTCAAAATATTCTACCTGGTGGGTTTATAGGCTTCTCTTGACTTATCGAGTCCTCAGTTTCCTTATCTGCAAAGTGGGAGCAACAATTCCCACTATTATTTGTCACTGCAGAGAATTTTA